CATTGGGTCTTCTGTTTAACTGGCAATGTCAGAAATTATTGACCTGAGTCCCCCACAGCTCAACATAACAGCATGGCTTTATTTCCTATATTTCATCTTCATACTTTTCTACTGGACGGTTAAGACCAAGGTAAAGCAGGACCTGTGCAACAAGAGTTGTAGCTTCAAAATCATTTTTTAAAAAACATTTTTTCCCATTATCTTACCACCCTTGTCAGAAATCAGTTGGCCAGGAGTATAAAGATTTGTTTCTGAACCTCTGCTGATTCCTTTCATCTACTTGTCTATCTTAAATATTATATTGTCTTAACTTTTTAAAAAATCCAATCCATTTTAATTTTTTAAAATGTATTTGGCCCAGGGTCTCATAATGCAGCACAGACTCCTAGCGATCCTCCTGTTTTCAGCCTCCCCAGTGCTGGGATTGCAGGCTTGTGCCACCTTGCCCGGTCTCAGTGGACGGCTCGGCATGCCCAGGGTTAGGGCTGGCATGGCATGTAGCGCCGGGGATCGAACCCCGGTCCCTGCATTTGCTTAAGCAGGTGCTTAGTCAGCTGAGCTATCTCACTGGCTTAACTGGAGCTTTGTGGTTAGAATTACATCCTATAAGTTTGCTCTTCTAGCTATTCTGGATCTCTTTCTTTTCTGTATGAACTGCAGAGTCATCTGCTGATTTTTTTTTTTTTTAAAGCAGCTATAATCTTAAAGGGATTGTTTTGAAGCCACAGATCAATTTGGGGTTATTGCCCTCTTAACAATATTAAAAAATCATCAATCTGTAAACATGGGATACTAAGACTTATTTAGACTTTAAGACTTATTAAGGATATTAATTAAGGATAAATATTAAAGAGATTAAGGATATTTATTAAAGATATTAAGACTCATTTAGATCCCTAATTTTTCAATAATGTTTATAGCTTTCATTTTACAAATCTTAATTGTTTGTTTAAAATTATTGTGAACTCTGTTATTGTTTTTGACCCTATCTTAAATAGTAGGTAAGAAATATCATTGTTAGGGTTTTCTTTGCTAACGTACAAAAATGCAGTTAATTTTTATGCACTGGTATTTTGCAAGTTTCTAGAACTTATTAGCTGTAATAGTTTTTAAAAAGGTTTCTTGAGATTTTCCGTATATAAAATCATGTCTTCTATAAATAGAAAGTTTTACTTCTTTCTTCCAAAATGGTTGTCTTTTGTTTGTTTTTCTTCATAATTCCTCTTGCTAGGATCTCCAGTACAAAGTTCGGTAGAAGTGGTAAGACTGGACACCCTTGCTTTGTTTATTCTTTTGGGTAAAGCTTTCAGTCTTTCACCAGTAAATACGACATTAACTGTGGACTTTTGTAGATGTCATTTATCAGCTTGAGCAGCTACTTTCTATTCC